GTTGGTATATAGAAGAGTTAATTATCTTCTCATATTTATCAATCATCTAGTTTTGTGTTCATTATCTAACCGACATGTATCCAAGCAAAGTTAGAAACTCAAATTTTGAAGTAACGTAGTTAGTTTTAGAACATGCCATTATTAATAAAATATAACTCCAGAGGTTCAATATGTGTAGTTGCAGCTGAATTAATCCCAGCTCGTTTTAACTAAAACTGGCTCTAGTAAATAAGTTGGACTTATTCAGTTGATAGGATGCTAATCTCCTTTTTCGTCTAAAGTTCCATTCGTAAACTTATTTAATCAAATTCCTCTAACCTGATTTGACTCTCGTGGTAATTCTTGGTACATAAGCAGCCCAATCAGTAGAATTCCACCAGTAACACTTGCCATTATCAGAAATAAAACAGGAACACTTTCTATAATTTCATCATTGTAAAAAAATTTGAAAAGATAATGAAAATGTAAATTGGTTTATGGATGACGTTGAACAGCATTAGGTCCCCTTGTGCCACAGCAGTAAGTTTCTCAGTTTCTAGCGTTAAAAGTCCACATTGTATACCGGTAGAGGACACAACCCAGATGACTTATTGTGTAGCTTGTCTACAAACAATGAAAAAATGAGTAATAGATAAAACTAATATTGAACAGCATTAGATCCCGTAGTAGCACAGCAGTAAGTCTGAGGACTTATAACTCTAGAAACTGGGTTAAATGCTCGTAGTTACACTCTTCTCTTCCCACATCATACAAGATATTCTAAGCATTTATGACCAATAAAATGAAAAAAATAATAAATAATCGAGTACTTTGGGTGTTTATTTTAGGTGAGGAAACCTAAGAACTTTATTTATTCATAACCATGATTTTAGAGGGTTTTTTCTGGTGATTTCTAAAGACTTTAACTTTAAAAATGTCAATAATTAAGAATAACTACAACCAATAATGCAAAAGATCTCGCGGGTTATATATAATAATAATTTTACACTCTTCTTCCCATAGCTGGATAGTCGTAAGTATGCGGACTTATGACGCTAGAAACCAGGTTTCTATACCCGTGGTGGACACAGCACAGATAGCCCATTATATAGCTTTGTACTTACTTACAAACAATGAAACAAACAAAAAATTAATAATAGGTAAAAGTTATGTGTAAATGACAGCTTCAGTTCCCGATGTGATATAATATTTGTTTCTTTGAAATATCTTACTCCAGTTTATTAGCTAACATATCATTTAGCCAATTTCAACAGCTAACATTTAACATTTCCAAATACTATAAATTTAATAAATGAACAATGTATAACATATATAACCCGATAAAGCTACTGTACAGATTTCAAAACGTTTTGTTCTGTTAGGAAATACCATAAGAAACACTAAAACCTAAGAACTTTACATATTCAAAACCATGACTTTAAGCCTTAAACGGTGCTTTGTAGTGGTAAGAACCTTAAGTAATGTAAAATATTATTTCATGTAAGCGCTAAAATAATTAACACTGACTTCAAACAATAATGTACAGGATCTCGTGGGTTATATTCGATAATAAAAAGCAATAATTTTGAGTAAAAAGTAAGCTAAGATACTTGAAAGTTGAAACTAGTAGCCTGTGTTTTAGTTCTAGAAACATCACGTGAGTTTACAAAAACTTGTAACTTACCCATCAGAAGTTGGTTGGAGATTACTAGGATTCACAAAGAAAGTGATGATTGTGTAAAATCGGTTTCAGGGAAGAGAATAGTCACAAGTATCCCTATGAAAGGACAAAAACAGGTATTTGGGAATGAAATTAAAAATCTTTATCCTTACACCATCACATAATGTACATTGATTAATACATAAAGTATTTTATTATCATTTATTTTATATAAACAATGCATGTCAAATTGAATCAACCTCATAGTCAATATATGTTGATACCATTTACGAATCCTTTAAGTAACTGAAACTAATTTTGATAATTATATTTGTTACAAGACAACAGTATTAGGCTTAGTGTAATTTTTAATACTAATTTTGTTCTTCTTTGCTCTATTAAGCTTTATATAAGAAGAAAATTGTATAATAATATTTCAACCACTTATGTTCAACATATTCATTATCGACGACGTTTTTCAGTCAGCACCAGATGTCATTAGTCCACCTGGGAAACAAATAACATAAAAATATTTTTCTTGCTCTTGAATGTTTCAGATATCGACAGTTTTAAACATTATAAAAACAAGTTGGTTCAGTCAATTCGCGAGACAGACATTTAATTAACTTTATTTTTGTTCATGATAACAAACTTGATTCAGACTTCAACATAAAATTTGCTGAAATATAGGTTGTTTTCTCTTTTCCAATAGAGGTATGTATAAGATTTTTACAAGTGAATATTAACCCATGAGTTAAGTTACGCTGCTTTATCTGTAAAGTTTGGAAATAAGGAGTCGTTTTATTGTCACAGAGATAGAAATGTACTAGTGAAACAAATCATAAAAAATACAAGGAACCGAGATGTTGAAATACAGTAAAAGCGAACACATCTTATTCTTTGAAAAACAACACTTGATTCTGACCTATCTTACCTATGAATGAAACAGTCGCTGTTACACAAAACGTAGCAAACCATCCTAAGGAAGAAATAATACGATGGAGGACTAAAGGCCAGAGAAAAAAACAAGTTGTCTGGAATATA